TTTCTTTCTATTCTTTTCTTTTCTTTCGTGTCTTGCTTGCTCAAGCTTCTCTTTTCTTTCTTGTTTTTCTTTTCTTTTCTTTTCTTTTCTTATTCCTACTCTTTCTTTTTCTTTCTTTTCTTTTCTTTTCTTTGCTTATTCTTATTCTTTCTTTTCTTATTCTTTGCCGATCGGACTCGGTTGATGCATGGATTCGAAACCTTGGCCGTGTGAGTGAGTACAGTCCTCATCTACATGCACTCTTGTGGACCGTACAAATTTTTCTTTCTTCTTAGGCCACTCAATTAAGGTGGCGTGCATGTAGGAATTCTTCTTGGTACAACCCTCATCCACATACACTCTTACGGGTCGTACAATTCTTCTTCTTCTTATGCCACTCAATTAAGGTGANCAAACTCATTTCAGGAAGTGATTATCCGACGTCTAATTTATTCTTGAAGGAGGTGTGTGCAGTGAAATGTATGTTGGATAGTAAAAGTGAATCTGAAGATGAATTTATTAGAGTAATGGTTAGGAAAATGAAACAGAAGTTTGATAAATATTGGGGGGAATGTAATGTATTGATGTATGTGGCAGATATATTGGATCCTCGATTGAAAATAAGGATTAATCAGTGGGCATTCCCTAAGATGTATTCTGAGGCAGAAGGACGGGCAAATATGGTGATGGTCTGGGATGCATTGTATGAGTTCTATGGGGAGTATGTTCAAGCTAACCAAGGTGTGACTATCGCCCGTACTTCTACATCACAACGGGATGGACATGGAGGCATTGGTGAGGTGGCTGCGGTTGAGGGAGCTGAGGCCTAGGATGATTTTAGCACTTTTCTGGACGGGGTTGAAACTGTTGAGCCTAGTCAGTCTGAGTTGGACTGTTATTTAGGAGAGGGATGCCATAAGTGTGTGGGGGATCATGACTCATTTGATGCCTTATAGTGGTGGAAGGCAAATTCAACCAAGTTTCCTGTATTGTCTACGATGGCTCGAGAGATACTAGCCATCCCGATCACTACGGTTGCTTCAGAGTCTGCATTCAGTGCTGAGAGCAGGGTTATTGATAGTTATTGAGCTTCTTTGTCACCAGCTACGGTGGAGATGTTGTTATGTGGATGTGACTGGTGTCGCACTTTGAATGGAGTGAAGAAAGGGTGCAAAGTAAGTTCCATTGCTTACATGTTTTGTTTAATTCTATATTTAAAATAAATTTATTCTAANTTATTGCATTCTCCATAAAATTCTATCTCTTTTCACTCTCCACAATTTCAACTAATTTTGAGTGAAAAGACCATGTTACCCTTAATACAAGTTTAAGGCATTTTCTTCACATTCTCTCAAAATAACTTTAACCAAAATCAACTAAGGGCTATAAAAACATAAATTAAATTACATACCTCCGTGTGGGCATTACAAGTAATAAAAGATTTCGGTAATCTTTCAATACTAATAGTGATTACTGTAGGTAAATAGGTAATCAGATTACCACTTTAGGGGGTGTTACTTAAAGATTGTCGAGGTAATCTTAATTTTATACCCATTTTGCCCTTAATTAAATACCATTCTGGACATAATTGCCCTTAAATGTCTATCAAATAACAATCACCCAGACCCCTTACATTTGATAATTTAGCTAAAGCATCCTAGCCATAAAAAGTTTAAAAGTTAACAAAATACCCCCAACCACCAAAGACCACTGCCAACCGCCGCCACCACCACTGCCATGTAACACCCACATCAAGGTACGTAGCTTTATTTATGCCCTAATACCCTTAGTTGAATTTTGTGAAAGTTATCTTGAACAAGTGTGAAGAAAATTCCTTAAAACTTCATTAGGGGTAAAATGGTCTTTTCACTCATAATTAGTTGAAAAAGTGGGGAGTGAAAAGAAGTAGAATAACATGGAGAAGTTAATAAAATGAGGGCATTCTTGTAATTGACTAAAGGACATAGACGGAATTTTTAGAAAGTGCAAGAGTAAAATGGGAAACTATATATATTATTATGTAGTAATAAGAGTTCAAGAATGGAAACCCTAGGCACTCCACCCATTGTTTACGCCACTTTGATCCCAAATTCTCTCAATTTTTCTTCCACTAATTCCAAGGAAATTCATAGGATTTTTGCTAGATTTTGATAGATTTTCAATCCTAAGCATCCAAAAGTAAGATTCTTGCACCAAGATGTGAGATTTAAATTTTAAAGTTTGAATTCTTATGGTTTTATATGTTTAGGGTTTAAGAGGTAAGGGGAATTCTACCAAAGAGAGATTATAGTGTTGGAATTGCTCAAATTCAAGGTAAGTAAATCCAACTTTAGCTTTGATTGGATAAATACTTGTGCAAAGAAATTTATTGTATGTTGTATGTGTATTTGGATGATGAGAATTATGGATTGAAATTGAGGTTGTTTAATTTGTGAATCTTATGGCCATGAGAAGTGATGTATTAGTTTGTGTTGAGTTGATGAAATTTTGGGTGAAATATGAAGAATGGATATGGCATAGTGGAGGATGAAATTCGACTAGGGTGGTTGTTGGCCTTAGGGAGTTTTTGCTCCAATTTTGGTGGCTTGGGAAATATGTGGAAGTGAAACCAATTTAGGGTTTGTATGTGCATGTACGGTGTTTGATGAAATGTCAAAGAAAGTGCATATATATGAGTATGTTAGATTATTACTTTGTTATGGAAATGTTGTTGGTAGAGAATACTAGTTCCATAATGATACCTTTATATGCCATAATTAATTCTTACATTTGAGCATTTGCATTTAGAAAGAATAGCAAAGAATGAGCATATTTACATGCACATATACATGTATTAGAACGTTAAAGAATAAAGAGAAAGAAAGAAAAGAAATAAATTGTAGAATCATCCTTTAAAGAATATAATTAAAGAATACATCAAAACTGAAATTTTACTTAAAGAAATATAAAAAGATAAGAGAAGAGAAGGTTGTTGCGATGGGGAGCCCATGAGTGACAAAGAAGAAGAATAACCCTGCATGCACGCCGCCTTTAGTGAGCGGCCTAAGAATAAGAAAGAAGAATTTGTACAGTCCGTAAGAAGTGCATGTGGATGAGGACTGTATCCAATAAAGAATTTAAGGAAAGAAAATCCAGGATCTGAGTAACGGAGAAAGAATAGAAGTATTGTGGGTTTACTTACTGAGCAATTAGTGCTTACTCCGTTGATTTCATTGTTTTTGCAGATAGCAGATGAGATGTGATCGGATGGAACGTCAAGTAGCAGAGGAGAAAGGCAACACTATCTAACTCTATTTTTGAGTTATTTTTGTGACTTATTACTTGATGTAGAGATTTGTGTATAAAGAAAAATTAGTTATGAGCCCTCTATTTCATACTTATATATATATATTTTCTACAATATGTTTAGTGAGTTTTACTTATATTTTTCTAAAGAACTACTAGCTAGAAAGAATATTACATGCCAGTCACCAGCAATAGTCGCCAGATTGATGCATGACCAATGAGATCTGGCCAGCCATGCGTCTAGCTGTTTTTGGCCTTCGATCTAGTCGGAAACAGCCAGATCCACAGTGATCTAGCTATTTTTGGCATTCGATCTGGTCGAAAATAGCCAAAACGGCACATGACTGGCGAGATCTTGCCAATCATGCATCGTTTTGATGACTGACACCGGTGGTTGGCGGTGGTCTTGGGTGGCTGGGGGTATTTTGTTAAAATTTAAACTTTGTTATTGGGGTGTTTTAGCTAAATTCTCAAATATAAGGAGTTAAAAGAATTTACTTTAATAATAACAATAATAATAATTATATTAAAAATGAAGGGCAATTCAACAAAAGCTTCATTCGATAGTATTTAATTCTTCCCAACCAAACATCTTAGTTATTTGTATCTAGTAATCTAACCAAACATATTGATATAACATTCTTCTGTAATCTTCAAGGTAATCTATCTTAGTGGTAATCCTATCTTTTTAGCAATAAAATATTTCCTGAACCAAATGCACCAGGAATGTTATATTAACGGAAAGTTAGATTACCTTGAAGATTATTGGGAATCTTTAGGAAAATATGTTTGGTTAGTTAAAATAAATTGATGGGTATGTTATATTAATATGTTTAGTTGGGAGAAATAAATTGGTGGGTATGTTATTTAAATTACTAAATTGCCTTTATTTTAGATATTAATATAATATTATTTTTATTATTAATTTTTGAATATTTTTTTTAACCTCCAACATTTTAGATTTAGCTAAAACACCCCAACTTATATAAGACTTTAATTTATAACAAAATCACTTCACCCACCCTAAACCACTCCGGTCGCCATCGAAAGTCGACGAAAGTCTCTGGAAATTGTTGGGAGTTGCAGGAGTTGTTGATATGGCCGAAAAATGGCCGTTTCCAACCATATCAAAGCCTCTCGGCGACGGTCGACAATGGTTGACCAGTTGTTGGTGGTGGTGGCTGGGTGGCAGTGGTGGTTTGTAATTTGTTTTAAATATGAGAGCATTATTGTCCAAATACTTAATTAAATAAGGGTAAAATTGTAATAGTGGATTAATGTAAATTAATTTTAAAATAAGGGCATTATTGTCAAAAAAATTTGTTAATAAAAGATAAAATTATAATAAAAATAAAATAATCAAGTAATCTTACAATACCTAAGAAAATAGAGGTAACAACCTCCAATATTATCAACAGTAATTATTATTATATTAAAAAATTATTAAAATTTTATATTACTTGACAATCAAATATGTTAATAAAGTGATAATCAAGTAATATAGAATCATATTATTTGTATTATCTCGATCCAAACGCCCCAAATTGTATTATGTATAATCTCGATCCAAACGTTAAAAAAATAAAAAATAATAGATGGGAGAGGGAGAGGACAAGAGATGGCAGAAAGCATAAAATGGGGAGGATACCTGTGACAAATGGTTTGGCGTTTAGAACGAAAGAAAGACCAGTCTTCCCTCCTCTGTACTCTCTCTCCGTAACCTGTATTCTACCCTATTCCTCTTTAATCTCTCTCTTCACAAACCTATAGCCATGACTGGTGATGCTTTTCTTCTTCACCCAACCCCAACCATCACCTCCAATTCCAATTCCACTAACCCCAAGAAACCCAAAGACAAAAAGAAGAAGAAGAAGAAGCGTGGTGGCAGCAAGAAGAAGATGACTGCTGAGCAGAGTCTCGCTTTCAAATCTGTAACTGAATGGGTGTATTTGGACCAACACCTCAACACTAACAATTCCTCCTCTGCTTCTTCTTTTATTGTCGATGATTTTGGTGTACAAAAGAGTCTTGGAAGAGGAGTGGAGAAAGTGATGTTTGAATTGCATTCACATTCCAAGTTTAGTGATGGATTCTTGTCGCCTTCCAAGCTTGTTGAGAGAGCTCATGGCAATGGGGTCAGTCATTCAAATTCCACTTATATATATAACTTTTTGAGGGGATTGCTCTAATGGGTTTTGTTTGTTTTGATTGATAGTTTGAAATGAGTGACTTTTTTACTTTATTTTTTATTTGAAAAGTGTTCCTTTCTTATTCTATGCTTCAAATATTTAGTTTTTTTTTTTTTTTTTAAATGTCGGAATACTTATTTATTTATTAAGAATGATTCTGTAATTTTGTTATGAATAAACATTATTTTTCTGCTTCTTACTGGTGAATTCTTGTGAGATTTTTTTTCTTTTTTCTTTTTATTTTAGGAATCTTGTGGTTCTTCCTTTGAATGGACATTTATGCTTTTCTAACCAACTGCTTTTGTTTGTCTGATTCTTTGAGTTCTCATTTACATATATCATATTTGTTCTGTTTCATCGGTAGAGTTATTGCTTGTGAACTTGAGTATTTTGTGCTCTTTGTTATTATTCTTTACCTAAGTTTCTTTCACGATTCAAGTTACTACAACATTTTAAAAGGCAAAGGGTGTAGATCTAAGGAAAATTATTTATGCTTTTTAAGGCTTAATTTTGTAGACAAAACAATTGTTCTCATGAAGCTGTATGTGGTCTGTGAAAGCAATTCGGCTTTGTGTTGTATAATGAAGAGGAGTACAATAATACTTGCGGTGGAATAAAGACGTAGGTAATGCTAATGGAAACAATATTTGGTTGAATGACAAGGTTCGACAATGGAGCTAGGGCGTTGCTGATGGATAGAGGACACTTATTTTTTCATATTACAATCCCATGCAGGATGTCTGAAGTTTTTGTGCAGGACCATTTTACTTGTGAGTTTTTTGCATAAATACTTATAGATATACCTATCTTTTGAAAACTTAGAGAAGGAAAAGTAGTAAAGCAGAAAAAGGAGATATTCTCTCAAGATGTAGAAGAGAAGGAAAATGATAGACAAGAAATAACCTTTTAAATATAGCATTTTCAGACTAAAGCTCATTTTCTTTGTAAGTTAGCCTTCTGTTTGATTCAGAAGAAGAGATCTTTTCTTGCTCAGTACTATCTCCTCTCCTCTGTTTCCACTGCTAACACAAGAAGTGGTTGGGCTGGATTTTTTTTTTCTTTTGGCCTGAAAAATATGCCAGTAGTTGTCATTCTGAGTTATTATTATGCTGCCTAGCTCGTTCGGAGTTATTAGGTAAATAAAGAGCAGATTTAAAACATAAAACTTCTATTTTCTTTCTACCTTATAACTCGATTGAAACCTTTTGATAAGTCAGAGGGATGTACAATATTATATTTATTTTGCTCTGCTGGTTTTATTTATTGTAGATTGATTTTTTTTTTTTAATTATTTTTAACTCTTGTTACTTATACCATTTCACATCATGACATCCGAAATTTATATGGCCAAGCTATTTTAGGAAACAGACATTATTAAGATATTGTGAGGTATTTTGATGATATGATTTACTAAAACATCAATTATATGAATTATCATTTTTTTTTATGGTATAAATTTCATAAATTATATAATATAATAATCATAATCAGTGTAAACCAACAACTTTTTTTTTTTTAAAATTTTGTTCATCGTAAACATTTAAATAATGTATATTCTGATAACCCTCCATTAAAACTGTAGACTAGTGTTCTACTATTAATGTCCTCATAAGATATTTTAGCACATGAATTTGTTTTTACATCTGTTTTGTGCAGAATTATGTTGCTTCATGTTATTTTATTTAACTAATATCCTTTCTGAGGTTGCTTGGTAAAGTTTATGCAATTTCATGATTGTGAGCTTGTTGGTTATGAATGTTTTAACTGGCAATGCTTGCTATTGTCTCTATTAAGGCAAGAATGATAAAGAATTTTCTTATGTTTCATCATAGGTGTATGTTACTGGTTGAACAGGCTATTATTTGATGACCTATCATTCATAGAGAATATCTAGATTTAATCTATTTCTTTCTGACAGCATTAGACCAAAATGATTATTTTAAATGAAACTTGAGTTTTTATATCTTCCCTACAGGTGAAGAAATGCAACCTATAAATTACTTCAATTTTTTCAACTGGCATGACCAATTTCAAGTTTTTTGTGTCCTTGATTATTATGTTCAAGTGTGGCATGGTTACAACTTTCTAAAAATCATCTACTTGGTTATTAATGTCCATCTTTATCTCAAGTTTTTGTGCTTTTCTGATTTCTCTAAGTAGATTGGATAGGAAAATATTTTTACATTTTGATTATTATTACTTTTGTAATTAGGAATTTAATTAGTACAGTGTGTTCAGAACAGGTGAAAGTTCTAGCTCTGACAGATCATGACACACTGTCTGGTATACCTGAGGCCATTGAAGCAGCTCGCCGTTTCGGGATCAAGATTATCCCAGGCGTTGAAATCAGCACAATTTTCTCTCCAAGGTTCTNAAGCTAGTTTACCCGCCCCCATCCTCGACCCCCAAATTTTGAGGATGGGAAGGGTTTTGGGACTATGTTTGGTGTCTCGAGGCAGCATAGAGAAACTACTACTCGGAAATTGCCAACCATACGTAGGTCAGACCTTGTGCACAAGTTCATTCAAAATCAAGTTTTTATGATGGTCAGATCAAAATCGGTTTAAGAAATGATCAACCTGATTTTTTGGGTCAGGTGGCAGGTCAAGTGATAAGATCTTGAACTCGACCTAACAACCGATTTTCTTTTTTTTTTTTTTAAAAAAAAAAACTTTATTTTTCATCATTGTATTGGGTGAAGTAAACAACTTAAAGTATACCTTCCCACACTAGATTGTTGTCATATAAGCCACAAGTTACTCCTTTTCTCAACCCTAGGTAGGGCTGGTTAACGAACTGAGCCGCTCGCAAGCCGGCTCGGCCTAACGGCTCGGTTCGTCTGAAATGAGCCGGCTCGACTCAGCTCGTGAGACAAAACGAGCCGAGTTCGAGCCATACAAGGTTCAGCTCGTCAGGCTCGCGAGCCGCGCCTAGCTCGAAAAAATGGGGGGTTTTTTGAGAATTTTTAAAACATTGGGATTTAATAAAATAATGCAAACAAGTTTTGAAAAATAACAAACTAGCGCTCGTTATTAAAATTCCCAAATCGCGAAAAATCCGTCACAGTCAAACCCTTGCTGTAAAATTTGAATCAAACTCCTTCCAAAGTGTTGATTTTCGGCCAGATCTTGTTCATCTTCATTAGCTTCGCCAGATCTTTGCCGGATATTGTTCATCTTCGCCGGATCGTCAGTTCATCATCTCATCATCGTCAGATCTGAAGTGGATTTCGTCAGTTCGTCATCATCTTCGTCGGATATCGTCGGTTCATCATCTCGTCATCGTCAGATCTGAAGTGGACATCGTCGGTTCATCATCTGCTATGGTCGATTGGGATTTAATTGTTTGTTTGGGGTTTGGGGTTTAAGATGATTTTAGTCAAATTTTAACTTGTTTTTCGTGAATTGTTCGTCTGTAACAAGGGGCTTTTTCCGATGAAAGAATTGAGGAAGAGCAGTCTGTGAAGAGTAGTGTCGTGGTGGTGTTGCTGTGAAACCCATACAAGGTTAATGCTTGTGTACTATATGTGAAGAGCAGTGCCGCGTATGGGTCTGTTTGACTGTTTATTGAAATTGCTTTACTGACATTCAAATTGTTTGTGAATTGTGATTGTGGTTGTGTTGGGACAAAATTTCAATTGCAGTTTGTTAATGGTTGACTGGTTGTTATTTAATTGTTGTGGTTTGTAGGAATGTGGTTATGGCGTTTTGCATTTGGTGGTGGGGGCTGGCCGACATGTAGTTTTTAAATTTGTTTGTGGCTTGTTGTGGGAATGTGGTCCTGCATCTGGTGGTGGGGACTGGGGGATNTCGGCTCGGCTCGAGTCCGGCTCGTTAACGGCTCGGTTCGTTTTATTACGAGCCGGCTCGACTCGGCTCGTGAGACAAAACGAGCCGAGTTCGAGCCATACAAGGCTCAACTTGTCAGGCTCACGAGCCGGGCCTGGCTCGAAATAGCGGGAGGTTTTTTGAGATTTTGTAAACTATTGAGATTTAATTGAAATTTGAAACTAACGCAAACAAGTTTTAAAAAATAACAAAATAGCCCCCTTTATTAAAATCCCCAAATCGCGAAAAATCTTCACCAATAGAACCATGGCCGTAAAATTTGAATCAAATCCTCCCAAAGTAACGATTTTGGCTAGATCTTTTTCATCGTCGTCAGCTTCGCAGGATCTTTGTGGGATATAGTTCATCTTCGTCAGACTGTCGGCAGCCGTTGGATCATCTTCATCGTCGTCAGCCGTTGGATCTTCGTCATCGTCGTCAACCATTGGATCTTCATCATCGTTATTGGATCTTCGTCAGAACTTCGTCTTCTTCGTACGAGGTTCATCAAATCTGAATCGTCTTCGTCAGAGTTGATGTTTCTTCGTCGGTTCGTCATCATCTTCGTCAGATTTTCTTCGGGCTTTAATTAGTGAGTAGGGGGTTTCTTCATCATCTACTATTGTCGTTTGTTTGGGGTTTCTTCAATTTTTGTCAGATTTTAACTTGTTTTTTCATGAATTGTTTGTTTGTAACAGGGGGCTTTTTTCGGTGAAAGAATTCAGGAAGAGCAGACTGAAATTGCTTTACTGGTGCCTGGTGGTTGACTGTGGTGGTGACGTGGTGTTGCTGTGAAACCCACACAAGGTTAATGTTTGTGTACTATCCGTGAAGAGTAGTGCCGTGTATTGTTTATTTAAATTGTTTTACTGAAATTGAAATTGTTTGTGAATTGAGATTGTGGTTGTGTTGGGACAAAATTTCAATTACAAAGGAGTTTGTTAATGGTTGACAGGTTGTTATTTATAAATTTGTTTGTGGGAATTTGGTTATGGGGTTTTGCATTTGGTGGTGGGGACTGGCCGACTAGTAGTTATAAATATGTTTGTGGCTTGTTGTGGGAATGTGGTCCTGCATCTAGTGGTGGGGACTGGGGGATTTAAATATTTGTTTCTGGCTTGTGGGAATGTGTTGGTGTGGGGTAAAGAAAGAAGAGTCAGTGCCTTAAAGATGACATTTATGAAGGCATAGAAAATAGAATATTACACAACATGATGTAAACTTTGTTTCTTTCATTTGAACTCTCTGAAATGTTCATTATTCCAATTAATTATAGAGGGTTAATAACAAATTAGCAGTGCTAACCCTCACATGGCTACCTCATTCTTTATAGCTCTAAAAAGAAAGTATACTCTTCTGTCCATGGAGAAAATCTGAGTCAAAGAATAAAAATTAAGTGTCTGATAAGCATGTGCAATGAGTTGTCCCTAGTGCATTTTAGCCACAAGTTTATTTATAACAATGGGTGTTGGGCGAAGAAAACATTAATAGAATAGCCTTGTCACAATCAACAAGCACATGGATACTTAATAATCTTTCATTTTGATTGTACAGAAGGAATATGCAAGCCCTCTCTTGATTAATGGAAATGATAGGAAGAAATACCAACTTTTTTGTATTATAATTGAAATGCTTGACCATATTATTTGTTACCTTGTCTTATATTTTAACCTTTTCAATACCCACCAGCTTGTCAAAGCTTTATAAAATAACATGAACCCAATATGCATGGCAGCACATAGTCCAAGACCAAGGCCCCATACTGAAGTCTGATTCTCATCTCTCATGCATGCACACAAGTGTTGTGCGGCCACATTGCTCAATCAAATTCAAACTTTATTTTGTTAAAGCCAAAAGGGGTAGCAAATTTTCTGCACTGATTGGAAAAAGAAGTGAATGGATTGGACATTAAAGAAAATAAAGCATTATGTACCCTTCCAATTTATTTACATAAATGAAGTTTATATATGCAACTTTAATGAATTCAAAATAGAACATGTGAGTTGCAAATGAAAGTGAGACAAATTTCAAAATATAACATGTGAAACTTAATCAAACATGATACAAAACTAATATCTCTAATTAAAGAATAAATGAATGTTGGGATGTATTGGTGACAATTAATATTGGTGTGCAATGTATAATGTATTGGTTTGATGTGTGTGCAATGTAATAGTTTGACATTATTTCATATTGGTTTTGCATTAAATTGTTGATTTTTTTTTTTTTTCGATTTATAGGTTTGTAAATGGAGGGTAATTCCTTAAGTACCCCTGCAATACACAATACAATTACCGATACACCTGGTATTAGTAGCCCGGATAATGGTGATGAAAATCAAAATCCAATTCAGAAGCAAAAAAGAGCAAAGACTTCAGTGGCATGGTCGGAGTTCAAGGAAGTGGTATATGAAAGTGAGAAGACCAAATTGAAGACTTTGTTGAAGACTGTGACAAAAATCAGTTTGACTACAAACTTATGGAATTCAGGGAATCAAAAGATGGAGTATATGGTGTTGACCGGGCATTGGATAGATAGTACTTGGAGGCTTAATAGACGTATCCTCAACTTTGTTCGTCTACCTCCTCCCCGGACTGGTATTGAGATTGAAAAAGACATTTTCAAGTGCCTAATGGGATGGGGAATTGAAAATAAGGTATATACTATTTCTGTGGATAATGCTTTAAGTAATGATGTTGCGATTAAGGTTTTGAAGGAAAATTTTGAAGTTTCGGGGAAACTCCTTTGTGGAGGTAAACTGTTTCATGTGAGATGCTGCGCACACATCTTGAACCTGATTGTTCAAGATGGACTTCATCAAATTAGGCACATCATTGATGACATCTATGAGAGTGTGTTGTATATCAACAGTTCAGAAAGCAGACTCAAGGTATTTTCTGAGATTGTTCAACAACTTAAATTGCCGTATCAGAAACTTATTCTTTATTGTAAAACAAGATGAAATTCTACCTATGAAATGTTGGCAACGTCAATTAAGTTCAAAAAGGTTTTTCCAAGAGTGAAAGAAAGGGATATCAATTATCATAATAATCCGAGTGACGAGGATTGGGAGAAAGTGGAGAAAGTTTGTGAAGTTTTGAAAGTATTCAGTGGTTCAACCAAACTCATTTCAGGAAGTGATTATCCGACATCTAATTTATTCTTGAAGAAGATGTGTGCAATGAAATGTATGTTGGATAGTAAAAGTGAATCTAAAGATGATTTTATTAGAGTAATGGTTAGGAAAATGAAGCATAAGTTTGATAAATATTGGGGGGAATGTAATGTGTTGATGTCTGTGGCTGCTGTATTGGATTCTCGGTTGAAAATGAGGGTTATTCAGTGGGCATTCCCTAAGATGTATTCTGAGGCAGAAGGACGGACAAATATGGTGACGGTCTGGGATGTATTGTATGAGTTATATGGGGAGTATGTTCAAGCTAACCAAGGTGTGACTATCGCCCGTGCTTCTACATCACAAGGGGATGGACATGGAGCCATTGATGAGGTGGCTATGGTTGAGGGAGCCAAGGCCTGTGATGATTTTAGCACTTTTCTGGACATGGTTGAAACTGTTAAGCCTAGTCAGTCTGAGTTGGACTGTTATTTGGGAGAGGGATGCCATAAGTGTGTGGGGGATCATGACTCATTCGATGCCTTACAGTGGTGGAAGGCAAATTCAACCAATTTTCCTATATTGTCTAGGATGGCTCGAGAGATACTAGCCATCCCGATTACTACGGTTGCTTCAGAGTCTGCATTCAGTGCTGGGAGCAGGGTTATTGATAGTTACCGAGCTTCTTTGTCACTAGCTATGGTGGAGATGTTGTTATGTGGATGTGACTGGTGTCGCACTTTGAATGGATTGAAGAAAGGGTGCAAAGTAAGTTCCATTGCTTACATGTTTTGTTTAATTCTATATTTAAAATAACTTTATTCTAACCTATAGATTATTTTTATCTATTTTTCATCTTAGAAAGAGGAGGATGAAAATCACTTGGAGATTCAGCTTCCTGTTCTATCAGGTGATGGGAGTCAGCAGATTGCTTGATTCACTCGTGAGTTATTGGCTGTGGCAGTAGGATTCTGCAGGTCAATATTTATTACTTTTGTGTTGAGGTTTGCATTTTCATCTTTATGGTTTATATAAAATGACAATTATACTTAATATGTTTCACATTAATTTGTTTGTAGGAGGAGTGGGGCTACAATAGACATACAGCCAATTATCTTTTGCTATTATATATATTTTTTGATGGATGGGGATGTCACTTCATGTATAGTTATTCTAATCCCCTATTTTGTTTTTGTGAAAACTTTATTAAGTCAAGTGAACTAAACAAAAATTATTTAGTTCACTTAACTTAATTTGTGGTACATATAGTATGTTAAATGATAAATTGTTAATAGCAGTAGCATTTCATTTAATATTGATTTTAGGTAGGTTTAACTGTTGGGTGATGTATGAGGACCTGAGAAAACATGCAGACAATCAGATTTAGACCTACGTGCTGCCCAGCAAATTAAAAAACAATAAATGAAAAGTGAAAAATAAATGAATCAATTTGACAAAAATAAATCAGTTTGACAAAATAAATGAAAAGTGGAAAATTTAACAAAATGCATCAGACATTAGTGATTCTTCCTCTGCCAGCAAATTAATGAAAAGTTAAATTATAATTTTTCAATTTTAAGCCCTTCTAAATTCGCCTGCCATATTTAAATATTTTAAACTAGATTTTCTCATTTTCAATTTTGAACATTGATTCAGCTTCAAAGTGAAATTATGATTTGCATTTATTTGAATTTAAGACAATCAAACATTCAGACGGCAGCCCAACGAATTTTTGTAAAAAAAATTGAATTAAAAACAAAAAAAATTAGTTTATTTGGAGATGGCTCGCGAGTCGGCTCGAACTCGGCTCGATTAGCCGGCTCGAAATATGCAAAATTTATTACCGAGCCGAGCCATGCCATATAATTTCTGGCTTAGCTCGGCTCGTTTAATCTTCTTCTCTCACGAGCTGAGCTCGTTAAGTCGAAAACTCGACTCGGCTCGGCTCGATAACACCCCTAGAGAAGGGTAATAGCCCAGGCCATGCGCATTGTACCCCGTCGAAGGAAAGGTAAGCAAGTGGCGAATAGCGGGCCTAAGGGCTCTAAAGGGCCGACAAACACCGACCACGTCTTGAGTAGAATACCTGTGGTGTTGAGGCTCGGTGAAAGGTAGCATCCCTAGCCGTTCCATGCCACGTCACATGAGCACTCACGTAAAAGTACTAGGCGGGGCGATTCTCATCACCGCCAAAAAAACGATCCTGATCGTCATTGTGCGAGAGGTTCCCACACTTCGCGGGGCAGTTCGTACCACCGCGGAGGTCGTGAAAATTCCCCGTACAGTTCATCGCCATCACACGACTTTAGCAAGCTTGTGTCAAGGGTGGTCAGAACTACTGACCGAGGCAAAAAGGAATCTGACCTCTGAACTTTCCTCAACCGCAATCACGAGGGTCGAACTCGCATGGGGGAAAGCAATCCCCAGATAGTTCTACTGCCTCAGATTAAGGAGCTGCAGTGGGCTCTAGATCAGCTAAAAGCTCAGCAAAATGAGCAAAGGCAGGTCATAGCAGCGTCTCCCTTTTCTCCGGTAGTATTAGCCGCCTCTCTTCCATCAAGATTTAGAATGCCCGATATGCGGGCGTTCGATGGAAATTCTGATCCGCAGGATCACTTGTATGAATTCAACGACCTGATAAAGCTTCATCAGGTTTCAGATTTGGCAAAGTGTCATTTTTTGGCAGTAACCCTAACCTCTCATGCCAAACGGTGGTTCAGGTCGCTCCTAGCGGGATCGATCAGCTCATAGCCTTAGATGAGCACGATGTTCCTAAGACACTTCCAAGCGAACCGAAAATTCTTAATGCCTTTAAGCTACCTCAGCAACATAAGTCAAGAGAGGGATGAATCCCTCTAGTCTTACATCAACCGATTCGAGAAATAACTTAATAAGGTAGCTCACACTCCCGAAGAGTCTGTTTGGACTCTTATCATAGCAGGAGTTCGCCCACAGACCGACCTGTGGAAAGAGCTATAGGCTGAGGATGATGTTTCCCTCACCCGCTTCTACAACTTTGCGGAGAAATACCTTCGTATTTAAAACTCCGTAGCAGCGCTCCACTGCCGCGACCCCGGCGCTTCAGGTAGTGCGCCTAGTCGGGGGAAAAGTAGGAGAGTTGATCGTAGATGGGTTAATAACGATCAACGAAAAGGAAAGAAACCATGGTTCGAGCCCAAAAAGTCTTATGCTCCAGTTCCTCGTCACAATCGCGATAGGAATCAGTATACGCCTTTGAATGCGTCTGTATCGACTATTCTTGACAAGTCAGAAGAAGCCGGCCTCCTCGGAGAGCCTGAGCCCATGAAAAATCCCCCATCAGCCAAAAATGGCAAAAAATACTGTCGTTTCCATCGGGACAATGGGCATCACACCGATGAGTGCTGAGCTCTCAAACAGGTAATCGAAGATCTCATCAAGCAGGGGCATTTCAAAGAGTATATTGATGACTCCACTCTTGTGTAGGAGAAAAATCAAGGGGAACCAGGAAAGAAGCGTCGTGATTACTAGGGTATCTATAGCGTCGGAATGATCTTTGGGGGGCCGCACCTCATAGGGAACTCGCGAGGTGCCTAGGAAAGATATGCTCATGTAACCCATCACGATCCTATCAGTGTGATGAACACGATGCGGCGACCACCAAAGGTTCGCAAGGAGGAGGAAATTACCTTCTCTGAAAAAGACATAGTTCGATTGCATCATCCCCACGATGACGCTCTCGTGATCACGCCCCTAATAGGGTGCTTCAACATTCACAGAATATTGGTGGACAACGGAAGTGCTGTGAACATCCTGTTCTAGACAGCTTTCGAGAGAATGAATTTGGACAAGGCTGAACTGAAGCTGGCCTCGATCACCTATACGGTTTTACAAGGGACCATCTGATCCCCAAAGGAACGATCTCGCTTCTAGTCACGCTGGGTGACTCTGACGAGGTGACCAAGGTAACTGAATTCTTAGTAGTGGATTGCCCATCTGTTTTTAATGGTATCCTAGGGCGACCTCTGCTGAGAAACTTCTAGGTGGTCACTTTGATAGACCATCTCAGGATAAAGTTCCCTACCTCGACGGGGATAGGGGAAGTTAGTAGATCTCAGCGTGTATCTCGCGACTGTTATGTAAGGGTAGTGCAGATGGCGTGCAAGGGGAAAGGCATCTCGTGCGGCATTTCCCGACAGGCAATGGCGATCAGCAGGATCGAGTCGTAGCCTAGCCCAGCTGAGGATAATATGGATCCTCGTATTCAAGAATGCCCTTCCAGTGGGCCAGTTGAGGATTTGTTTGAAGTACCGGTCGACCAGAGCGAGTCGAACAGAGTGTTAAAGATTAGGAGCAATTTCAACCCCCAGCTCGCCGCCGAATCGACTAGCTTCCTCAAAGAGAATATCGATGTGTTCACATGGTCATATGCAGATATGGTCGGGATAAGCCCGAATATTATTTGCCATGCATTGAACATCGACAGTGAAACCAAGCCGGTTTGCCAAAAGAGAAGAGTGATGGATCTGGAGCGATATGCTACCTTGAAACTTGAGGTAGATAATCTCCTTCGGAATGGATCCATCCGAGAAGCACTCTATCCAAGAAGCACTCTATCCGAGCTAGGTTGCCAACTCGGTTCTAGTAAAGAAGCCCAACGGTAAATGGCTGACCTGCGTCGACTTCACCGACCTCAACAAAGTATGCCTAAAAGATAGTTTTTCCCTACCCAGGATCAACCAGCTCGTGGACGTCACCTCTGGGCACAAGCAGCCGAGTTTTATGGACGCGTACTCGGGATACAATCAACTTTCGATGTATGCATTGGACGAAGACTATACATCTTTTGTTACAGATCGGGGGCTGTATTGCTACAAAGTTATGCCTTTTGGCCTCAAGAACGCTGGTGCAACTTACTAGTGGCTAGTTAACCGAATGTTCTCTGAGCAGATTAGGAAATCGATGGAGGTTTATGTAGATGACATGCTGGTCAAGGCACATGTTGCTTTAGATCACATAGTGCATCTCGCTAAGATGTTCGACATCCTCCAGAAATACAGAATGAAGCTAAACCCTCTCAAGTGCTCATTCAGAGTATCCTCGAAAAAATTCTTGGGATACATGGTTAACCAAAGGGGAATAGAGATCAACCCCGAGAAAATCCAAGCTCTCCTTGATATGAAAAGCCCGACCAACAAAAAGCAGGTTATGAGCCTTAATGGGCGAACAGCGACACTCAGTCGCTTCATATCGAGGGCAACAGATCGTTGCTTGCCGTTCTTCAATATACTAAGGGCCAACAAGAAGTTTGAGTGGACTCCTGAGTGCGAACAGGCGTTCCAGAGTATTAAAGAACACTTCGGGAAGCCACCTCTTATGTCCAAACCTCTCCCGCAAGAGATCCTCCTCCTGTATCTATCCGTCTCTCAGTTTACAGTCAGTGCAGCCTTATTTTGGGAAGAGAACAGGGTCCAATGGCCAGTGTATTACGCGAGCAAGTGTCTGTTGGATGCCGAGATGTGGTATCCGGAAATGGAACGATTAGCTTGTGCACTGCTAATTGCTTCTAGAAAGTTGCAACCTTATTTCCACACCCATATGATCCATGTAATGACCAATTACCACTCAGGTAGGTCCTCCAAAAACCAGAGGCATCAGGTAAATTACTTAAATGGGCCATAGAATTAAGTCATTTTGATCTGAAGTACAGGCCGAAGGCAACCATCAAATGGCAGACCGTTGTCGACTTCATATCAGAATTCTCATATCATCCGACGAATGAGTCGGAGTAACAGCCCAGCCAAGTCATTCGGGAAACTGCCTAAAATCCATCGACCTAGAGCTTCTACATTGATGGATCATTGAACAGAAAAATGGTCGAGGCAGGTCTTCTCCTTTTGAGTCCTGAAGGGACTCGCATTCATGGCATTCTCTGGTTTGGTTTTAAGGCGACCAAT